CCTTCCATGCCCTTCCGTGCCCTTCCACGACCCAACCCTGACCTCCGACGTCCCCCTGGGCGGGTCCCGGCAGGTAACGACCTGTTCCTGGTGGCCGTGCACGAGCTGGGCCACGCCCTGGGCCTGGAACATTCCAGCGACCCCTCGGCCATCATGGCGCCCTTCTACCAGTGGATGGACACCGAGGCCTTCGAGCTGCCCGACGACGACCGGCGCGGCATCCAGCAGCTCTACGGTCGGTAAAATCGGGGAGGAATCGGGCAATTTGGAGAATCTGGGGAGAAATCGCGCCGAGAATTGGGGGAAAATCGGTGAAAATTGGAGGAAATTGGACAAAAATTGGCAGAAAAGTGGACTAAAATTGGAGAAAATTGGCTGAAAATTGGCCAAAAATTGGATCAAAATTGCAGAGAAAATTGGAGAAAAGTTGGCAGAAAATTGGCCAAAAATTGGCAGAAAATTGGATCAAAATTGGCCAAAATTGGCTGAAATTGCAACGAAAAATTGGTCTAAAATTAGAGCAAAATTACAGGGAAAATAAGAGAAAAATTGGATGAGATTGCAGTGAAAAATTGGCCAAAAATTGGATCAAAATGGCAGCGAAAATTGGAACAAAATTGGCAGAAAATTGGGCAAAAATTGGCTGAAATTGCAATGAAAAATTGGCCAAAAATTGGCTCAAAATTGCAGCGAAAATTGGAGCAAAATTGGCCAAAAATCAGGTCAAAATCACAAAAAATTGCAGTGAAAATTGGAGAAAAATTGGCCCAAAATTGGCTGAAATTGCAAGGAAAAATTGGCCAAAAATTGGATCAAAATGGCAGCAAAAATTGGAGAAACATTGGCCAAAAATTGACCCAAAATTGGCAAAAAATTGACCAAAAATTGGCTGAAATTGCAATGAAAAATTGGCCAAAAATTGGCTCAAAATGGCAGTGAAAATTGGAGGGAAATTGGCCAAAAATCGGGTCAGAATCACACAAAAATTGCAGTGAAAATTGGAGAAAAATTGGATCAAAAATTAGTAGAAAATTGGGCAAAAATCAGCTGAAATTCCAAGGAAAAATTGGCCAAAAATTGGATCAAAATTTGCAGTGAAAATTGAAGAAAAATTGGCCCAAAAATTGCAATGAAAAATTGGCAGAAAATTGGATTAAAATTGGCTGAAATTGCAACAAAAAATTGGTCTAAAATTAGAGCAAAATTACAGGGAAAATAAGAGAAAAATTGGATGAGATTGCAGTGAAAAATTGGCCAAGTGGACTAAAATTGGAGAAAATTGGCTGAAAATTGGCCAAAAATTGGATCAAAATTGCAGAGAAAATTGGAGAAAAGTTGGCAGAAAATTGGCCAAAAATTGGCAGAAAATTGGATCAAAATTGGCCAAAATTGGCTGAAATTGCAACGAAAAATTGGTCTAAAATTAGAGCAAAATTACAGGGAAAATAAGAGAAAAATTGGATGAGATTGCAGTGAAAAATTGGCCAAAAATTGGATCAAAATGGCAGTGAAAATTGGAACAAAATTGGCCCAAAATTGGCAGAAAATTGGGCAAAAATTGGCTGAAATTGCAAGGAAAAATTGGCCAAAAATTGGCTCAAAATTGCAGCGAAAATTGGAGCAAAATTGGCCAAAAATCAGGTCAAAATCACAAAAAATTGCAGTGAAAATTGGAGAAAAATTGGCCCAAAATTGGCTGAAATTGCAAGGAAAAATTGGCCAAAAATTGGCTCAAAATCACACAAAAATTGCATTGAAAATTGGGCAAAAATTGGCAGAAAATTGGGCAAAAATTGGCAGAAATTGCAACGAAATATTGGCCAAAAATCAGCTCAAAATTGCAGAGAAAATTGGAGGGAAATTGGCCAAAAGTTGGCCAAAACTGGCAGAAATTGTAACAAAAAATGGGCCAAAAATTGGATTAAAAATGCAGCGAAAATTGTAGAAAAATTGGCCAAAAATTGGCTGAAATTGCAAGGAAAAATTGGCCAAAAATTGGATCAAAATGGCAGCAAAAATTGGAGAAACATTGGCCAAAAATTGACCCAAAATTGGCAAAAAATTGACCAAAAATTGGCTGAAATTGCAATGAAAAATTGGCCAAAAATTGGCTCAAAATGGCAGTGAAAATTGGAGGGAAATTGGCCAAAAATCGGGTCAGAATCACACAAAAATTGCAGTGAAAATTGGAGAAAAATTGGATCAAAAATTAGTAGAAAATTGGGCAAAAATCAGCTGAAATTCCAAGGAAAAATTGGCCAAAAATTGGATCAAAATTTGCAGTGAAAATTGAAGAAAATTTGGCCCAAAAATTGGACAAAAATTGGCAGAAATTGCAATGAAAAATTGGGCAAAAATCCCCTCAAAATTGCAGCGAAAATTGGAGGGAAATTGGCCAAAAATTGGCTGAAAGTTGGCAGAAAAATGGACCAAAATGGGCTGAAATTGCAAGGAAAAATTGGTCAAAATTTGCAGTAAAAATTGGAGAAAAATTGGCCAAAAATTGGCTGAAATTGCAAGGGAAATTTGGTCAAAAATTGGGTCAAAATGGCAGAGAAAATTGGAGAAAAATTGGATCACAATTCCCCCAAATTCTCCCAAATTTCCCTCAAATTCTCTCCAAATTCCCCAAATTTTCCTGCAAAATCCCCAAAATTTTCCCAAAATTCCACAAAATTTTCCCAAATTCCTTCTAATTTGCCCAAAATTCCCTCAAGTTCCTCCAAAATTCCCAATTTTTCCCCAAAATCCCCAAATTTCCCCCAAAATCCCCAAATTTCCCCCCAAATCCCCAAAATTTTTCCAAAATTCCCCAAAATTCCCCCAAGTTCCTCCAAAATCACCAAATTCCCCCCAAAATCCCCAAATTCCCCCCAAAATCCCCAAATTTCCCCAAATTTCCCCAAATTTCCCCCAAATTCCTCCATAATTGCCCAAATTTCCCCTAAAATTCCTCCAGAATCCCTAAATTTTTCCCCAAATTCCCCAAATTTCGCCCAAATTTCCCCTCTCAAATCCCGAAATTTCCCCAAAATTCTTCCAAATTCCTCCAAAATTCCCCAAATTTCCCTCAAATTTCCCCCAAAACCCCCAAATTTTCCCCAAATTCTCCCAAATTTCCCTAAAATTCTCTCAAATTTCCCTCCAATTCCTCCAAAATTCCCAAAATTTCCCCCAAAAATCCTAAAATTTTCCCCAAAATCCCCAATTTTCCCCCAAAAAATCCCCAAAACTTCCCCCAAAATTTCCCCCAAATGTCCCGAAAATTCTCCCAAATTCCTCCAAAATTGCCGAATTTTCCCCTAAAATCCCCAAATTTCTGCCAAATTTCCCCCAAAATCTCCAAATTTTCCTCAAAATCCCCAGTTTCCCCCCCCAAAATCCTGAAATTTCCCCTCAAATTCCTCCAAAATTCCCCAAATTCCTCCCAAATCCCCAAAATCTCCCCCAAAATCCCCAAAATCTCCCCCAAAACCCCCAAATTTCCCCCCAAAACCCCAAAATTTTAATAATTTTTATTTCCTTTTTCCCCCCAGGCTCCTCGTCGGGCCCCTCCCCCCGCCCCTCCCCAGATTTTTTGGGTATTTTTTTCAATTTTTTTGAGTTTTGACCTTCCAGGCCTGTTATTCTGCCATTTTTTCCACCGTTTTCCGCCATTTTCTACCGTTTTCCCTGTTTCCCATCATTTTTCTCCGTATTCTGCCATTTTCCCCCCGTTTCCTGCCATTTTCCCACTGTTTTCCGCCATTTTCTGCCATTTTTTTACTGCTTTTCCCTGGTTTTTCACAGTTTTTCCTGTTTTTCAACATTTCCCCCCATTTCCCACCACTTTCCCACCGTTTTCCACCATTTTCTCACCATTTTCTGCCATTTTCCCCCATTTCCCGCCATTTTTCCACCATTTCCATCATTTTTCCCTGTTTTCTGCCGTTTTCTCACCATTTCCCGCCATTTTCCCACTGTTTTCCGCCATTTTTCCACCGTTTTTTCCCGTTTTTTCACTGTTTTTTCCCATTTTCCCCGTTTCCCACCATTTTCCCCCCTTTTCCGCCATTTTCTCCCTATTTTCCCCCATTTCCCCCCATTTTCTGCCATTTTCTCACAATTTCCCGCCATTTCCCCCTCATTTTCCGCCATTTTCTCTCCGTTTTTACCGTTTTTTCACCGTTTTTTCCCTTTTTTCCCATTTTTCCCGTTTCCCCCCGAACTAACCCCGTTTTCCCCCCAGGAGCGCTGGTTCTGGCGGGTCCGGGGGGGCTGGGTGATGCCGGGGTACCCCCTGCCCGAAAGTGCAAATTTGGGGCATTTTGGGCCATTTTGGGGCAATTTGGGGGAATTTTTCATCCCAATTTGAACCAATTTTAGGCGAATTTTGGGGCAATTTGAGACAATTTTGGAGCAATTTTTCATCCCAATTTGAGCCAATTTTAGGCGAATTTTGGGGCAATCTTGAGGCAGTTTTCCAGCACAATTTCAGCCAATTTTTGGCCAATTTTGGGGTGTAATTTTAGGTAGATTTTGGGGGGAATTCTCAGCTGATTTTGCATCAATTTCCCAGCCCAGTTAATCCGCCATTTCCCCCCCCTTTCCCGCCATTTCCCCCCCCCTCCCCCCAGTTTCTTCCCC